GTTCTATAATGTGGCTTTAAGATGCATTCCCGGAAGTTCAGCCCAGAGCTGATCTTCTTCAGACCTCCCAACCACTATGGTACCCAGTAGATATCCTGTAATAAATTCCTTTTCACTTACCCAAACTAGAGTGGATTTTGTATGCAGTAAAACCCTCACTGATACACGGGGATTCCTGGCATTTTCTGGTACATTACAGTACTGCTTTCTTATTTCAGAGGTGTTTCAGATTTGTTATTTTAGGGGTGTTGCTAGTGGTTTTGGTGGTATGGCAGGGGGATCAAATGCTTAGGCATTTTGATTTCATCTTCCTAGTGAGAATTCATTTTTCTCAGGGACAACAGAATTTAATAGCATACTGTAACAAGAGATATGTTTACTCTTAAAAAGGCCAAGTCCAAGTCTCTTGAAGTATAAGAGATAATATCCTTCTTTTATTTTTTTGGCAAGTTATTTAGCAGGTTCTTGTCCCACCTAAGCCTGGTGCATTTTAACAGAAACCACAAGTTGCAGCTGGTGCTCTCCATGAATCCAAGACTGGCACCAATCTTGACTAGATTCCAAGTCTCTTCTTGATATAAGGGGACTCTCTAGGAGATTTCAGTTAATTACACCATAGTTTAGTAGTTAATGAAATAATTTATGAACCTAACATAGTTCATTTTCAGTGCATCTTTAAAAATGAGTCTAAATTTTTACAACCAAAGAACTATTTCTAAATATTTTTTGTTTCCATAAGGCATCTGTCCTTCAAGGTTGATCATTACACTTAAAACACTAGGACATAAGCTGGGAAAAAGTATTTGCAAAAGACACATCTGATAAAGGACTGTTATCCAACATTTACAAAGAACTCTCAAAACTCAAGAAGAAGAAAAAAGAACAGATTAAAAAATTTGACAAAAGATCCGAACAGACACCTCACCAAAGAAATGATACAGATTGCAGATACGCATATGAAAATATATGTCATTAGGAAATCTCAAATTAAAACAATATGATACAACTGTATACCTATTAGAATGGCCAAAATCCAAAACACTGACAACACCAAATGTTGGTGAGGATGTGGAGCAATCGGAACTCTCACAGACTGCTTTGGAAATGCGAAATGGGATAGCCATTTTGGAAGACAGTTTGGTGGTTTCTTAGAAAATTAAACATACTCTTACCATACAACCAAGTAATTATGCTCCTTGGTATTTACCTAAATGAGTTGAAAACTTATGTCCACACAAAACCCTGCACAAAGATGTTTGTAGCAGTTTTATTCATAATTGCCCAAACTTGGAAGCAACCAAGTTATTTCGTCCTTTGGTAGGTGAATGGATAAATAAAACAGTGATACATCCAGACAATACAAATATATATATTTTTAAAGATTTCATTTATTTATTGGAGAGAGAGAGAGAACGATCAGGGAAAGGGGAAGAGGGAGAAGCAGACTCCCTGCTGAGCAGGGAGCCTAATGCAGGGTTTGATCCCAGGACCCTGGGATCATGACCTGAGCCCAAGGCAGATGCTTTAACTGACTGAGCCACGCAGGTGCCCTGGAAAATAGAATATTTTTGAGCCCTAAAAAGATATGAACTATCAAGCCATGAAAAGATATGGAGGAAACTTACATCTATATTACTAAGTGAAAGAAGCCAATCTGAAAAGGCTACATATGTTATGATTCTAACTATATGACATTCTTGAAAAGGCAAAACTATAGAGACAGTAAAAAGATCAGTAGTTGCCAGGGGTTGGTGAGAAGGAAGGGATGAATAGGTGAAGCACAGAAGATTTTTAGGGCAGTGAAATTATCTAATATGATATTATTACGGTGGACACATACATACATTTGACAAAACCTTTAGAATGTACACCACCAAGTGTGAACCTTAATGTAAGGGATGGACTTTGGGTGATAATGTGTCAATGTAGCTTCACCAATAGTAACAAATGTATCCCTTTGGTGTGTGTGTGATGTTGATAGTGGGGGAAGCTTGGTGTGTGTGTGTGTGTATGTGTATGTGTGTGTGTGTGTGTGTGTGTAGCAAGTATATGAGAACTCTACTTTGCACTCAGTTTTGCTGTGAATCTAAAACTGTCCCAGGGCGCCTGGGTGGCTCAGTCGTTACGCGTCTGCCTTCGGCTCAGGTCATGATCCCAGGGTCCTGGGATGGAGCCCCACATCGAGCTCCCTGCTCAGCAGGAAGCCTGCTTCTCCCTCTCTCACTCCCCCTGCTTGTGTTCCCTCTCTCGCTGTGTCCCCTGTCAAATAAATAAATTAAAAAAATAAATAAAACTGTTCCAAAAAATAAAGTCTATTTAAAAGAAACATTATGACACATTAAAAAAATATATTTTTAGGGACAACTGGCTGACTCATTTAGTAGAGCGTGCAACTATTGATCTTGGTTGTGAGTTCAAGGCCCACATTGGGTGGAGAGATTACCTAAAAATAAAATCTTTAAAAATTTTATATTTTTGTTATTTGGTTAGATTTAGAAGGTAATTTTAAGTATTTTTACTAAAATTATACTTAAAAGTAGAGTTAAAAGAGAAGCATGTTTTAGTTAATAAAATGCCTCCTATTATTATTATTATCATAATAATAATTATTATTTGACTTAAAAAATCCTCCATAGGTTTTAGAAATTTTGGGGTGCCTGGGTGGTTCAGTCGGTTACGTGTCTGTCTTTGGCTCAGTTCATGATCCCAAGGGTCCTGGGATCAAGCCCTGCATTGCATCTGGCTCCCTGCTCAGCGGGAAGCCTGTTTCTCCCTCTCCCTCTGCCTGAAGCTCCCCCTGCTTGTGCTCTCTCTCTCTCTCTCTCTGTCAAATAAATTTATTTATTTGACAGAGAGAGAGAGAGAGCGAGCGAGCAGGAACACAAGCAGGGGGAATGGCAGAGGGAGAAGCAGGCTTCCCGCCGAGCAGGGAGCCCGATGTGAGGCTCGATCCCAGGACCCTGGGATCATGACCTGAGCCGAAGGCAGTCGCTTAACGACTGAGCCACTCAGGTGCCCCAAATAAGTAAATAAAATTAAAAAAAGATATTTAGTGATCAGTGATGTTCATATTGAGAAAAAATATATCTACACTTGACAATATTGCTTTTGTGCTTTGGATGTTGCTATAATGATCTCAGTTAAAAGTAGAGGAAAGAATCCCTCTAATACAGCATGGCCAGAACAGTAAGCTGGATGCTTCCCAACAGGACAGCTTTGCTTGCATCAGTCAGCTGAATTGTCAAGATGGTTACTCATCTGCTGGATGATTTCACAACCCTCTTCTTAAATTTGGTTTCTTTGGACACATTTTATCCTGGAAACAAAATCTAGGCTCCATAATACATTCAGAAATAGTAGATTCCTGTCTTTTTTCCAGCTGGTGCTGGTAGGGCTTACACATTTACTCCTGCACCATAGGAACAGCTGCTTGAAAAGCCGAGGGTGCGTTCAATTCCATTACTTTGGCACAATAGAAGGTCACATAAAAGAGGGAGACTCTCTCAGCCTGTCCATAGTTGGAAAATTAATTCTTTCAAGTGCTTTTAAAAAATCTCTACAGGTGGTCAGATCTTATGAACTTAGGACTAGCAATGACCTCATCACCTTCAGCTGGTCTAAAAGTTATCTTTGGCTGCTGAGTACTTTATGAAATCTTGTTAATTATGATTGTTTTTCCTAGTTACAAGTCCTTCTGGATGAATTTTTATAAAACATTTATTTTTATTGCTTACATAACTACATAAAATATTTTCATTGGTGTCAAAATGTCATGTTATTGCCAAACAGATTCCATTTCAATTTCTAGAAATTATTGGAAAGTTAATATTCACATTTTTAATGGCACCCTTGCTGTAGTATTAAATCATGCTTTACTGAAATTTACAACTGAAGTCATAATTACATTGCATTTTATACAGAATAAAGCATAGAATAGACAACCTTTCCAGTTAATCTCTATGGTTAATGATTATATTTTCCTTTCTTTTAAAGATAAATCATGAATGAAATTCAGTGTCTTTTTGAAACTGAGTTTTCACGGAAATGATTTGCATGGACACTCATCATTCACTTCTCTTTTTAGCACAGTGGCGTTTTAGTTTAGGAATCATAAATGGAATCGTTCTCCTCGTTTGTGACACTTTACCCTATCCATTTCTAAGTCAAGAAAAGTAAAAATGTTTTAAAAAGCAAGATTAGATAAGAAAGTCATAGTCCTACCTAAGCATTTGGTTTCTCCCTAGAGATGTCATTTCAAGAAAACTCACTCTCCATAGGCATCATTTCAAGGATGTAATTGTTTAAGTGTAAAGTTACACTTTGGGGTAGAAAACATCCTTTGGGGTTCACATTGAGGCTCATTTAGTGATCCTGAGAAATGAGCTTTTCAGCAGTTATCATATTTACTCTTTGTTCCCAGCCAGGAGAGCTGGAGGATAACCAAAGGGCTGACTTTAATCAGGTCTCCCAGAGCATGTACCATCCCTCGGAGGCTGTTCTTTGCCTGGATCTTGTATCTCCCCTCCTATGGACTGAACTGTGCAACCTCCTCACCCTCTCCCCCTTCTTTTGGAGGTGTGGCCTTTGGGAGATAAGTAGATATATATTATATCATGAGAGGGAAGGCCTTCATGATGGGCTTAGTGTCTGGTAAGAAGAGACATCAGAGAGCCTGTTGTCTCTCTCTCTTTCTGCCATGTGAGCACATAGTGAGAAGTCAGTCATCTGCAAGCCAGGAAGAAAGCTCTCCACAGAACTAACTATGCTGGTACCCTGATCTTGGACTTCCAGCCTCCAGAACTGTGAGAAATAAATGTCTGTTGCTTAAACCACTCAGTCTCTGGTGTTTTGTTATGGAAGCAGCTGACTAATACATCCTCCAAGACATTTGGAGCCTGAGCACATGTGAAAGGTGCAGTAGGGAATTCAGATGGTGGTTGAGGCAGTTCAGGAACACAGTGTTATAAAATTTCATTGATTGGCTCAATACTCTCTTTTAGTGTATAAATAGGACCGCAGAAGAAGATTAAGTTGAAGAGATGGCATAAAAAGGACAGCATTCTGGTGGGTTCAATTAAAAGTTTGTAAGTCAATTACCATTTTGCCTGTACTGATTTTCTAATGAAAGGAAATTTAAAAAGTAGAGGTTATTTTTAAGAAAGTTGAATTTATAGTTTAAGTGATGGAATATTCCACCATAATATTCTCATTAAATATTTGTTGATTTGACTTAAATATTTGTTGATCTACTTTATAGCACAAATTTAGCAAAGAATAGGATTCCTATCAAAATATTATATTTTTTGTGGGAAAGTATACCTTTATGCTCACTCATGCTAGATGTGATGCTGATTACTTGGGAATGAGGGTGAAGACTTGCCCCAGCAAATTTGGAAAAGCAGCTTAAAAGTAGTTAATACATACCTGGAGAGCTTTTCTCATCAGCCTCAACTCAGGCACCTATTATCTTATCTTTCCCTAAGTCATAAGAGCATATATTTAAATTGCTTCCATCCCCAATATTTCTTATGAAATATTGCTTGAAATAAGCAGGGATTCATCTAGGACATAGCTAGTTTTTTGTCACATGTAGATCTATGTCATAACTAAATGTTACTAAATATGACAGAATTCTACCTGCAGATCTGAGTAGGACATATTCCATTGTGATAGACAGAATAATGGTCCTCAAAGATGTCCACATCCCAATCCCCAGAATCTGTGACTATGTTACCTTATCTGGCAGAAGAGATTTTGCATATGTGATTAAAGTAATGATTTTGATAGAGGAAGATTATCCTGGATCCTCCATAAGGCTCCTTCTAAAAGAGAGGAAGCAGAGTAAGGGTAGAAGATGTGATGAAAACAGAAGTCAGATTGAGAGGGAGAGAGAGAGAGAAAGGGGGTGGGGAGAGAAACAGAGACAAAGGTATTGAGATTTGACGATGCTCTGCTGCTGGTTTTGAAGGGGAAAAAGAGGACAAGTCAAGGAATGCAAGTGGCCTCTAGAAGATTTTCTTAATATGGTACAACTAACATCAGTTAAAAGCAATTTAAACTTTAGACACTAGTTTTCAAATCTCTAAAGAAATAGGCATGGTGGGTGTTAGACTGGCTAATTTACACTTCTGACATATACTGAAACATCAAAAGCTGGGAGAGCTGGTAGTGAGCATCCAGTGTCTGTCCATTACTACTCAGCATGCTGTAGATTTGCACGGTTCACCCCCTTGGGGCTACTGAGCACTGGAAATGGGGCCAGTGAGAGGTGTGCTGCACGTGTAAAATATACCATGAATTTTATAAAGAATGTAAAATATCTTGTTAATAATTTTTTTAATATTGATCACATTGCCATTGAAACGTTACTATTTTGGATAAATTGGGTTAAATAAAATTCATTATTAAATTTCAATTTCTTTTTACTTTTTTAATGTGAAATGAAAAAAATTGACATTACATTTGTGCATCATGTTATGTTTCTATTGGACAGTGCTGCTCTAAGCAGATAATTCTATGTAATGATGTCATTAACATACTATCGATTATTTACCATGTCAATTAATATATTGTTGAGTAATGAATATACCAGTGCAGCTGAGAGAGTGGATGGGTTTATTTTCATCCATTTTACACATTTTAAAACTAATATCTCCATTTTTTATAGTCACAGCTTCCTGAGCTCCACAATCTCCAGTAAAATTGTGGTGAGTTCAGTCAGGTTTTATTTATTTTATTTTATTATTTTTTTAAATTTATTTCTTAAGATTTTAATTATTTATTTTAGAGAGAGACAGAGATAGCAACAAAGTCCACGAGCTGGGGAGGAGAGAGAGAAGCAGACTCCCCACTGAGCAGGGAGCCAGACTGGAGGCTTGAAGCTGATCTGAAGGCAGATGCTTAACCCACTGAGCCACCCAGGTGCCCCTCAGTCAGACTTTAAAAAAACCTAGAGGGAAAGCCTAAGGGATGTGGGAAATACTATTAGCAGCTCAAAGCTAGCATTTTTGCACGAGGAAAGGTGGGGTTTTCTGTGGTAGATGAAAGTGATCTTTGCACACATTTTGTTGTTGTGTTCCAAGAAAGGAAATGTTGTCTGTAGACATGAAGATACTGTTACAGGGAAAGACTTAATTTTAGGTAATGTTTCTTTGCAACATCAAAAACATGTTTTTCTTCTGGTATAGGAATACTCACGGTGAACATTTAGAAATAGAAAAAAGAGGCAGCTTGCCTGGATGAAATCATCCAATTGAAGCCATTAGGAAAAATCAAAAACTTCTGGGCTCACAAACACAGATGTGTCTGGATGAAAACAGAACATGCTATCAAATGAATGATTAGGTTAGAGATGCCTAGACCACTGGTGAGTTTCTATATGGTTTAGGAATATGGAGAGAGCTCATATGACAGCTTCAACATTTGGGATACAAATGCCCTTTTACCTGCAGATAGTGAGAGTATTTTGTCTTCTTTCAAAGACTTCATGGACATCATATCTTTCTCTTCCTGAAGAAATATAATTTCTTTTGAAATCCAGTTAATGTTTCATAAAGGCATCTAGCCAGTGTAATTTCCTGGATCAGATTAATGTTTGTAAGATCAAGAAATCTTAGGAAAGTAAACAGAATCTGTAAGCAATTATATTTTGGGTGATGATTACCTTAGAGTTCAGTGAGGAAACAACTATATAAGTGTATTAGGAACACATATATGTATATATGCAATATATATGATTGTATATATAGAATATGTGTGTGTTTTAGGATTAAATATACATATATTAGTACATATGGGGTGCCTGAGTGGCTTGGTCAGTTAAGCATCCACCTCTTGATTTCAGCTCAGGTTGTGATCTCAGGGATGTGAGATCTAGCCACTCGTCGGGCTCCACACTAAGCAGGGCATCTGCTTGGGGTTCTCTCTCTCCTTCTCCCCTTCCCACGCGCTCTCTCTCTCTCTAAAATAAATAAATAAATAATAAATAAAACATATATATTATATATGTGTATTTATGTATATGTATGTGTATATATAATACATATATATTATATATGTATTCCTAACATAAACACACATGTAGTTATACGAATGCCAAAGCAAAGTGATGAACATTTGGTAAAAGACAAAAACAGACTTTGCCTTCTGGGTTCTCCATGACATTTTAGGAATGCCAAATATCATATAGGACATGAGGATCATGGTTTGACCTTCAGCCTGAGTAAATCCATATATTAAGAAAATTATTCAGGGGCGCCTGGGTGGCTCAGTCGTTAAGCGTCTGCCTTCGGCTCAGGTCGTGATCCCAGGGTCCTGGGATCGAGCCCCACATCTGGCTCCCTGCACCGCGGGGAAGCCTGCTTCTCCCTCTCCTACTCCCCCTGCTTGTGTTCCCTCTCTCACTATGTCTCTCTCTGTCAAATAATAAATAAAATCTTTAAAAAAAAAATCATTCAAACTTTAAAATTTCAATAAGTGAGTAGATGTTATAAACCATTCTCTGTGGGACGATTTCTCTGTAATTTTTTTGATCATTCTCCCTCAACCCCAGTTCTTTATTTTGTAGGGGCAGCCACACCCAGGATCTCCCACTTGGTGTATCAGCCATCTCAAGTGGTCTATAATGAAATGGGAGCCTTGCAAAAGGTTTCTCTACTTCCTGATAATGTACCTGTATATATATATATGTCACTGTAATACATGTATAGGGAAGTTATTAGGGAGTAGGAAAAACTTTCCAAAGAGTACTTGCATTGGATGGAAGTCAGCTATCAGAGGCTAATATCCAACTGGACTTCCATCGGCAAATGTCCTCGTTTTTTCCCAGTGGGGAGTGGAGTGTAAATTTCTTGGCTTGCCAAGGATATAAAAACAGCCCATTCATTGAAATAACTTAGCTTTCATACTGCAAATAAATAATTTCTCTGATTGCTTAGATAAGATACCAACTAGATACAAATGCCCTTAGGCAGGACCTATTGCAAATTGTTATGCCAAATCCAGAACTGTCTTTATGTTTACAAAGCAGGCACTTCAAATCTAAGTACTTTCGGTTAAAATTGTCAAGGCATGAGGCTGAGTAAGGACATACCAGCTTTACCTGCCTTGAGGCACTACTAAGACTGGTTGGCTCTCTCAGAGCCATAAAACTTTTTATTATTTTTCTGCATATATTATGCCATGGAACCATGTAGACTTCTGGGACTTCTGCTGCTTGTAAAATGGCCCAACATTTTTGTTGGCTGAAGTGCAGGGTGAGAATTGCTCATCACCCTTGCAGAGCAACTGGAGACCTCTTTTGGGGTTTACTGGTTAACCTGCACTGGAGAGTAGTTAATAAGCCAATGAAGGAAATGTTAACATTAAATTAAAATATGTGAAGGCGGATTCTTATGAGCATCAGATAAGCTACATGCAGTAGATGCATTGAAAACCAGAATTCAGGGAAAATACCAAGTGCTTTGTTCTTTTCTAAGGCATGCAGAACTCATTATTGTTGATGGAAATGAAATCCACAGGGCTGAGTGCCTCAAATAAGTCAGGGGTTGGAAACCCTTTGGCTCAACTTTCTTGGCCAAAGAGTTTCTCTAAAGAGAAGCTTGCTTACCCTAGTGTGAGAACATTCATTATAAATTACATATAAATAAATAATATTTCATAAATATTATTGTAATTATTTCATAAATAATCACCATACATATTTCTATATATAGTTTCATCACTTTTTTTTTTTAGAATTTAGCTTCTTAATGGTATAGAAGTTATGGATGGCTTAAAATCAAATGCTTAAAATTCACTCCCAGAGAATATGGAATTGGTCTTAGAAGAAAGTGAACTTTGGGCTGATAGGTAAGTCATGGTACTAGATGTCTCCTCTTGTTAGGTCCTACTGAATTCTTAAGATTCTCAATAATTATAATTGAGCCAGTTGGGGTAGCCAAAAGAGTAACAGAAAGTATATGTAGCGATGATAAATCAGGCCTTGGAATTTTCCGCCCAGGTGCAAAATTGCTATTAATTTCAGTCTTATTTGACACAGTAGAATTTAGTAGTGTATAGTATAACAAAATGATTGTGCAGAATTTTATTTAGCTCTTTGTGTTGTAAAGACTAGAGTCACCTATTCCAAAAATTAAAAAAAAAATGTTTAATGTAGCAGTATACATATATTGCTTGGGAAGATAGTGTCTCAGAAACCCAAGAACAGGGTGATAATCCCTGTGGAAAACGGATCAGGATCTGAAAAATGCTTTGGATTCCAAGACAAGTGTGAGATCCTCAAAAGTAAGAGCCTATTAATTTCACTAGGTGTCCAACTTTAAGGTGAAGACAGTATGCATCCAGTGTCTGCTCTATGGCTACCAAATGGCCTGCTTTTTCTGTGTTTTCCACTATTCAGATTCCTGGAAGAGGCATTCTGGTCTCTTTTGGTAAGCATTTATTGGCCAGGCCAATAAGTCTGCTAGTCCCTGGGAATTTGTTATGGTTGGGTTTGATCTACATGCCATCTTACTTTCTGATTACATTTCTCCACAATCACTGAGGCACAGGTGGAAAGAAGACAAAGACCCTCTTTATTTAAGACCACATCTTTTGAATGTCTGTGAATGTCAATGAAGCTCGAGATACCTTCTCTAGGTAAGACTCAACTTATCAACCTATCTACCTTACTGTTGTAGACCATAGATTTCCTACAGGTAAGTGACAGAGCAGAGGCGATCGTAGGCAAAGGGTCAAGCAGGCGATGAGGTTTTGTTGTCAGGGTTATTCTTTCTTCTGAAACCCGTAGCCATTTTATATCCTAGTAAATTAAAGGCAGCTATAGTTTGCTGGGAAGAGGATGTGGCTTAGTGTCAGGAGATACCCTTAAATCACACGTTTGCCCATATCTGGTAGCCTTGGGTAAATTAATGAGCTTCTCTGAGCTTTAGTTTCCTCCTTATAAAATATAACTATCATACAAGGTTGTTTTAAATACTGTATGGAAGAGATGGGCATATGACAGATCATTATTTAATAAATACTTATAAAAAGTATTTTTTACTTTTTAGTGGAAGGGCCCCTAAGTGTTCCATTTTCCAGATATGTAAACTGAGTTCAGACATGAGATTTCACTTGTTTACATCCAAGCAACTGCTTGATTGTAGTCAACACTGAGCCCCAAGTCTCCTGAATTCCCAGACCAATGCTTCTGCAAGTTCCCTCCTGGTTTCTACACAATTCTCAAAACTTGTCTTTAGAAGAATGTGTGTATGTGTGTAAAGTTACAGCTTCTAGTTTCTTTCAATGAACAAGACATATTTTTATAACTAGACTAAGAATTCCTGATGTTCTTTAAAAAAAAAAAAAAGGGAAGTATCTGATTCTTATTTGCTATGAAGAGTGAATAAAAATTAAATAGTCTAGGGGTGCCTGGGTGACTCAGTTGGTTAAGCATCTGACTCTTTTTTTCAGCTCAGGTCATGATCTCAGGGTTGTGGGATCGATCCCTGATCCCTGCATCGGGCTCTGTGCTCAGTGTAGCTTGCTTGCCCCTCTCCCTCTGCTCTTCCCCTGCTTGCGCGCTCTCTCTCCCAAATAAATAAATAAATAAACAAACAAACAAATAAATAAATAAGTCTAAATTACTAACTGTCCTTGAGAAACATGTGTTTTAGTAGTAACTCCAGTCTTAAAGGAGAGATTCCTTAGCTAGGTGTCCCTGGGCCTCCCGCAGTCACTCTGGCCACATTTTTGCTCCCTGTGGCTCTAAGGTCGAGAGCAAAGCCAAGCCTCCAATTGGCAGCCAGATGATGCAGAATGAATGGCCGTGAAACCCAAGGTGATCTGGGCTCACCTGGCTGAACACCACAATCCAGAAGTGTGCTCCATATCACACATTCCTCTGCCTCGTGAGCAAAACATGGCATGATGCAGTGGAAACTTCGTGTAATCCATTATGTTTTCAAATACCAAGGAGTTGACTTTTAAGAAATGTTAAAGCACTAGATTCCAGATCTCCTTAGCACAATACAATTGGTTTGTCCACATAATTACTTTCTTTGCCCAGGAGTGCAGGATTTTCGAAGCATGTCTTCCTTCTTCCACTCATTATGATTTCCTCATAAACACCTATTGTCTGTTTTGTGCAAGGCACCCCAGGAGATACAAAATAGCACCTGATGTACTCTTTCCTAATGGAACCCATTTTCTTATTGAGATGAGAATGGAGGCTCCTTAAGGTCTGGGATCTTTTTTTTTTTTTTTTTTAAAGATTTTATTTATTTATTTGAGAGAGAAAGAATGAGAGAGAACAAGCACATGAGAGGGGGGAGGGTCAGAGGGAGAAGCAGACTCCCTGCCGAGCAGGGAGCCCGATGCGGGACTCGATCCAGGGACTCCAGGATCATGACCTGGGCCGAAGGCAGTCGCTTAACCAACTGAGTCACCCAGGTGCCTGAGGTCTGGGATCTTGTCGATCTTCTTCACTGTTAGGGTTCAGAGTCTAGAACAGTGTCTGGCACAGAATGGGCACTCGGGACATACTTGTGGAATGCAAGAATAGATATACCTGAATGAGACGTTAATCATAGCTAACATTTATGTTCACTAGTTTTCTCAATGCTGCCTCGCTGAGCCTCAAAACTCTTGAGGTAGGAAGTATTAATGTGCCCATTCTGGAGATGGGGAAACCAAGGCTTAGGGAATTGGGTAACTTTCCCATTGGTGACTCTGGGCTTTGTACCAAAGTCATCTGGCTCTGAAGTCCCCACTCTTGGCCACTCTCTTGCCCCGTATGTTATGCTGCCATCTTGCTTGGGGCAAAAGGCACTCCTTACATGGTTTTAGAACTAAAATCAAGGAATGTTTACAATGGAATCCCACTTGTGGTATAAACGACAAGCATATTAGAAAGTTTTGTAGAGACTGAATGAAACAGATGTGGAACCAAAACTGCCTGGGAGGGATAGAAAGGATTTAAAAGGTGAGAAGTAGTGGGCACCCTGGATCGAGTCCCGCATTGGGCTCCCTGCTCGGCAGGGAGCCTGCTTCTGCCTCTGACCCTCCCCCCTCTCATGTGCTCTCTCTCTCTCATTCTCTCTGTCTCAAATAAATAAATAAAATCTTTTAAAAAAAATAAATAAATAAAAGGTGAGAAGTAGAGTTCATCTCCCTTGACTTCTGGGAGATGACCGTGAAAATCCTCTTTATAATATGATTATACTATAAACTTATACAACATTATAATATTATTTTTTTCTTTTATCCCATTTTGTCATGTGAAACAGTTCATGTGGGGGAGAATCCAGTCTTGTTTGTATTTCTATTCACCCTCAGTACTAGCATGGCACCTTTCCACTGATTTGAAAGGAACTGAATTTTCACTGGGATGGTAAGCTTGATGGACGGGGGAGGGCTAACTACACCAACACATCCTAGCCAAATTTGAATTCTGATAAGCTTACCTCTTTCATGCTTTTCTCCAATCTATCCCCTTCTTTTTAAGAAGTCCCAAAGAAGGAAACAAAACAAAACAAAACACCACAATGATTCATATAAAATCATTTTTGACATCTTCAGAGATTTCTCTAGGTTCTGGTCCAAGCCTGATTATTGTTCAATTCTACCTCCATTCTTCCTACACTTGAGGGATTTCAAAAAATGTACTTAATGATTTGGACTTGTTTTAATTTTCTCAAACTTATTTTCCCTTGAGGTTAAGAACATTTTGTAAATTTGCAAATACCAAAAGTATTTTGCACACAATGAATAGATTTTAAAAAAATAATCAGATCAGATTCAGAACATTTCCCCAAGGAAAGGAAGTGCACAAAATAGTCAGATGATTAATTGAAAAACAAAGCAAAGGAACTAAAATATCTCCCTGAACTAGTTCCTAAGGTATGCTCTCTTTCCATCATGAAACACTGACTAGTCTGCCCTGTTTGTTTTTTGAAGTAAAACTTTGATGGGAAAATTAATAACTGAGTCCACTGTGTATTTCACACATTAACATTTCTTTTCTTGCCAAACATTTTGCTATGTGCTTAGGCATTCATGCTCAATACATTTTCCAGCCTGTTCAGGTGTCCATCTTTCTTGTTCCTATAAATATTCTACTAAATTTTCAAGTGACGCTCCTGGAAAGGTAGAACATCACCATATCTTTCTAGAAATTGATAATAAAAGCAAATTTTCTTTTGTTGTCCATAGAAATAACACAAATTCCTGGTTTGAGTTTCACTCCATTAGGTAGGGTCTCCATAGTATGATGATCTGATGTTGATAAACTAATCAGTTTTGGAAATGCTTGGTATCTGAAGAAGAGTGACAAATGATGTGTGACCTAATTGATAAGTTGATAAACTGACTGAAATTGCTAAATTGACAAAATGATTAAAGTTGATAAATTGATAAATAAATGTTTCTTGAGCAATGACTATCTGCAAAGCCCACTTCAAATTGAGATTTGCTACCTATTAAACAGAGGCAAGGATGTAGGGTCTTGGAGTCCAGACCTAGTTAGGGATGTGCTTCCTGATACCTTGCCAGCAAATCGTGGACAAGAGTCAGCTCTTCTTAGCTTGTTGTTCTTTCTAACTTACAGTAACTGGGCAAGAATTTGACTTTCACACCCAAATCAGTTCCTCAGTGTAACTGACACTTTCTAATGCGTTCTATTCCGTAGCAAGCGGTGCCACCATATAATATTACTCTTGGCTTACGTCGGAGTTAACACAAACTTTTCTTTCTCTGGGTCTCATCTTGCTAAGAAACATTCCCCACACCTGCAAGCTCTAGTTCCATCTATTTGCATAAATCAAACTCAAAAATGTTGATAGACTTATTATGAATCCCTTATGTCAGGGACTCAGGAGACTATAAAGAGACATGAATAATAGTAGCAGAAGCAGCAATAACAATAGTAGTAAAAGCAATAAGAATGGTAAAAGTTAATATTTACTGAATGCCTTCTATGGGGCACTGTGCTAAGCACTTTACGAGCAATAATGACTTCATTTTACAGAACAAACCAAAATGCGGAGAGGTGAAATAACCTGCCCTAAAACTCACCCAGTCCTGTGGTCGACTTGGGAAATGATTTTTCTGTAAAGTTTAGCAGAACTCACCATCTGAGAATGTTTTTTTAAAAAGGCAAACGTTTTTACTATCACTTCAGTTTACTATCACTATTTATTGGATAGGTTTTCTTATCTGGATTTAAAAGAGATACATTCAATTTTTATTCTTATGGTGGTTGCTCCTCACTTAAGCACCCCAGTTTATATAGATAGATATATTTTCTATTGAGTTCTGAAAATTTTTAATGTCCATGTTTTTCCTGAACCAGACAAATAATTTAGTATGTTCTCATGTCACTTTGTTTTCTTCCCCCACCACTACCCCACATCTTATGCTGATATTTTCTAGAAAAATTCTGGGTCACTGAGGGCATATATTATATTTTTCTTTGCTTTCATCTTACCCTTTTAATTAATTAATTAATTAATTATTTTTTATTTTTTAAAGTAGGCTCCATGTCCAGCACGGAGCCCAATGCAAGGCTTGAACTCACAACCCCGAGATCTAGACCTGAACTGAGATCAAAAGTCAGACGCTTAACTCACTGAGCCACCCAGGCGCCCCATCTTACCCTTTTAAAGACCACTTTCACGATATTTAAGTTCTCTTTCCCTTTACTGATTTGCTTTTGTCTTCTTGCTCTATCAGACGGAAAGAGATGTGCTAAAATCTCCCACTAGGATTGTGGATATTGTTTTTTTCTTTTAGATTTTTCAAATTTTGCATTACAGATTTTGATCCTCTTTTAACAGATGATCACATTTGCAATAAATATGTATTCCCAGTGAACTGAATCTTAATCATTGTGAAATGTTTCATTTTTAGTAAAGATTCTTATCTGAAAGTGTATTTTGTGAGATATTAGTATAGCTAAACTAGTTTTTGTTTGATTGATGTGTAGCATGTCTTGGCTTTGTCCATCGTTTTACTTTGAATCTTTTTGTATTTTTTTTTTTTTAGCTTAGGTATATATTATGAATTGGATGTTTCTGTCACCCACCAAATACATATATTGAAGTCCTAACCCCCAATGTGGCTGCGTCTGGAAAGAGGGCCTCGAAGGAAGTAATTAAGGTAAATGAGGTCATAAGGGTGGGGCTCTAATCAGCTAGAATGAGGGTCCTTATAAGAGACATCAGAGACTTAAGTAGCATTAAAAAAAAAAAAGAGAGACATCCGAGAGGTTGTTCCCTCTCTCCACATGTACCAGATAAAAGGGCCATGTGAGTACGTAGCAAGAAGGCGACTATTATCCAGGAAGAGAGCAATGACCTCGATCTTGCACTTCCCAGCCCCAGAACTGTGAAAAAATAAATTTCTGTTGTTGAAGTCACACAGTCTGTGGTATTTTGTTATGGCAGCTGAAGCTGATAAGACAGATTTTGGTACCAAGAAGTGGGGTGCTGCTGTCTAAATACCTCCACATGGGGAAGTGACTTTAAGATAGTATCAGGCAGAGTCTGGGAGAGTTTTGAAGTACGTGCTAGAAAGTCTAGATTGCCCTGAAGGGAGTGCTGGTACGTTAAAGGTAATTTTGGTAAGGTCTCAGGCAGAAATGAGGAGTAAGTTAATAGGAACCAGAAGAAAGGCGACCTTCATTACAAAGTGGCGAAGAACATGGCTGAATGATGTTCCCTGTGCTGGGGAAGGTAGAGCTTGTGAGCAGTGAAATGGGATATTTAAGGAGGGGATGTCTAAGCAAAGTGCTGAAGGAGCAGCGTGGTTTCTCATTACTGCTTATAATAAAATTCGAGAGGAGATACTCTCTCCCTTCTTTTCCCCCTTTGTTTGTTTGTTTTGTTTCTTAAAATCCACATATGAGTGAGATCATATGGTATTTGTCTTTCTCTGACTGACTTATTTTGCTTAGCATGATACTCTCTGGTTCCATCCATGTTGGTGCAAATCCATTATCTTGTTTATTTCACCTTGAGCACGACTTCTCTGGGTCTTAGCATCCTCATTTATAAAGGGAGGTGGTTGACTTAGATGTAGTGCAATAATAATTTGCCTGTTAGAAGGCATAGCCCAATTCAATGACCCCTTCAAACTCTATTTTATCAGAGTATTCCTCCCCCAAATTCAAACAACTTTACAAATAGCCCATTAACTTCACATCAGGCAGGTTTTTGTTTTTAATTTACACCAAGATAAATGTTGGTGAGTAGCATTTTCCATAAGAAAGTGCAGCTGACCTTTGAAAAATGTGTTAGGGGCACTGACCCCCTCACCCCCTACACAGTTGAAATATTAACTTTTGATTCCTCAAGAACTTAACTACTAATAGCCCACTGTCGAAGCCTTACCGATAACATAAACAGTCAATTAACACAGATTTTGTGTGTCTTATGTGATGAGGGAGCATAAGGCAAGCTGAGGACAAAGCACAAGCTGACATCCCCCCCCCCGCCCCCACATAGGATATGTGTGACATTCCTTCTGGAAACGTCCAACTCTCTTTTTTTTTTTTTTAAGATTTTATTTATTTATTTGACAGAGAGAGAGAAAGAGAGAGAGATCACAAGCGGGTGGGGGGGGGCACGCAGAGGGAGAGGGAGAAGCAGGCTTCCGGCCCAGCAGGGAGCCTGTTGCAGGGCTTGATTCCAGGACCCTGGGATCATGACCTGAGCCAAAGGCAGACGCTCAACCGACTGAGCCACCCAGGCGCCCCCCAACTCTCTTAATGTTAATGCTTTGCTAGGGGGAAAAACAACCTTAGCTTGACAATGGCAAGGCCTCCAGAATCCTGAGGGTCTTCTTTGGATATGAAAATCCTTTTGGACACCTCCCTTTGTCCTTACCTCCCCCAACTCCCAAGTATATAATCAGCCATTCCTCACAACCCCAGTGCAGCACCTCTTTCTGCCCACGGGTCCTGTTCCCATGCTTTAATAAAACCAACTTTTTGCACCAAAGATGTCTCAAGAATTCTTTCTTGGCCGTCGGCTCCAGACCTCACCTACATTTAAAAACTAAATCAATATGTACTAATATAGTATTCTTACAATAAAATAAGCTAGGGAAAAGAAAATGTTATTAAGAAAATCATGAAAAATACATGTACAGTACTGTACTGTATATATTGAAAAAAATCTGTATATAACTGGACCCATGCAGTTCAAACCATTGTTGAAGGGTCAGCAGGAGTAGGAAAAACAGTTCTGTGTTCTCAGTTTCTGTTTCTGTTTTCCAATTTTGGGCTTAAGGACCATCCGCCTCTAAAGCCCCAAGGATCACATTTTAGGAGTTTTTTGGTATTGCTAAATGCTCCTGGTGAGCTTATTGTACAGACCAAGATAATGGGAGAAGATTAGGGAAAATAGAAAACGGCAAAAGGAAGGAATAATTGAGGGACATCTGGGTGGTTCAGTCTTCAGCATCTGCCTTTGGCTCAGGTCTAGATCTTGGCCCCTGCTCAGTGTGGAGTCTGCCCCAACTCCTGTGTGCATTTGCTCTCTCTCAAATAAAAAATGAAATCATGTTTAAAAAAAGGAAGGAAAAATTGATAAAAGAGATAAAGGAGAGAGAAATAAACCAGTATAGGGAGGAGAAAGAGATTGGAAAGTAGTGTTTTGTGGAAAAAAACATGTGATGACCCCACCTCAGGTGTGTGGATTACCCCATTAAAAACAGCACCATTGTATTAAAATGTGGTCTGAAAAAAGGACATTTTGGGAATATCAGGTTGTTGACTTATGAGAGGTACAAACGGTTTAACTCTTAAGGGCATGGGTTGGATGAGAATCCACTTCTTCCTGGCTCTGTGACCTTAATTTCTATACCTTGTCATTTCCTCATCTGTAAAATGAGTGTCTTAATGAGAGTCCACCTCATAAGGTAGTTCTGGGGATTAAATATTCACAGTTCAGATTTTGGCACATTGTAAGTCCTCAGTAAGTGTTACCTACTTTCAATGTTGTTATTATTGTTATAATTATTATTGTTGGCATCCTACGTCGGCAACAGAAAGTTATAAGCCTCATGTTTTAATTCAGCCCTAACTAGAGATTATAATTCACTCTAGCAGCCAAAAGTGTCAATTAGTCGTTTAATGAAGAACTAGCTGTCATAAAACTTAAATTATATCTATTTGCATCTAGTTTCTTCTTATAATAAAATTGAGTTTTTTTCCTATCTGCTAAGAGTGGAAAAGAGCTTTCCTGAAATAAGTTTTGTTTAATAGTTTTGTTTTTTTTTTAAAGATTTTATTTATTTATTTGAGACAGAGAGAATGAGAGAGAGAGAGAGTACATGAGAGGGGGGAGGGTCAGAGGGAGAAGCAGGCTCCCTGCCGAGCAGGGAGCCCGATGCGGGACTCGATCCTGGGACTCCAGGATCATGACCTGAGCCGAAGGCAGTCGTTTAACCAACTGAGCCACCCAGGCGCCCCTTGTTTAATAGTTTTAAGGACCATTGATTTCTAACTTGGAGATGTTCTAACTTTAAATGTGGTTACAGAACGTAACCACATGTAGAATGTAACCACACATAGAATGTACTGTGTGTTTGCTATCATTGTTTCTTATGTGAAGTTGCACTGGCTTATTTTAGGTTGGTTAAAGTAAATTATATTTATTAGAATATGTTTGCTATAGGAATTACATTTACTCACCAAGCCTTATAATGTCCACACCAGCACTATAATCTTAAACTCACCATCCATAATTTCTGACTCAAATCTGTGACCTTTGTCTCTACAGACATATCTGTAATAAACTCATCTGCAGTTTTGCTTTCTGTGGCCAACTGTGGTCTGGAAGCTGATGATCCTCCTTCTGACATGTGGTCAGAAGGTTAGAGTAGCCCAATACCATGTCACAAAGCCTGCGGCATTTATTTGCCCTCATCTAATCATGTAGGCATTTTATCATCTCATCTCATTACAAGATGAAGGGTGAGTACATTATAAGAAGATATTTTGAGAGACCACAGTTACATAATCTTTATTACAGTATATTGTTATAATTGCCCTCTTATTAGTTATTGTTGTTAATCTTTATGGTGCCTAATTTATAAATTAAAATTTATCATAGGTATGTGTGTATAGGAAAAAACAGAGTACAAATAGGGTTCGATACAGTCCGTGGTTTCGGGCATCTGCTGGGGATCTTGGTACATATTCCCTGTGGATAAGGAGGAACCACTGTGTTTTAACAGATTTAGTTAGTAAAGCAAACATAAGGGTTTCTATCACTAGATATACAGCATTCTAGAAATAACATTATGTCTTTGTGAGATGTTTTCCGAGGAAGAGAATTCTCTAAAAATTCCTTATGTCATCAGAGTTTATACTATTTTCTAGAGTGGAAATTTATTATTCCCAAAGAGTACGTAGGGATCAGGGGCTTCATAAGCAACAGCTGCTTTCCAGTGTGACCAAGACCATAACCTGAATCCTTTATTACATTCTCTTTTCAGTCTATACCATTGCTGTACAAAATTAAAATACTTATGTTAACACCAAACCAAAAAACAAAAAACAAAAAACCACCAAGCTAGTAAGTCCTAAATTAGATTTAAACCCTTTAAATAGTCTCTGGATATGAAACTAATAAAGATTATTTGCCCTATTGGGTGGAATGCTAAGAAGCTATTTTTGTTGGATTGTGAACATTCAGTAAAATCTCTATATGAACAGCAATAAAAGTGTGCTATCTATTAAAAGTTAACTATTTGCTGATTTTGCCCACCATTTTCAGGTATGAGGTTTGGCATTTCAACAAAATTAATGACCATCTTATTTTGGGTCACCAATTCCTTGCAGTTGATTATTACTCCCCAGAAATTTCCCTGGTCCAAGTCTCATAGCCAAACTAATTCTTTAAGAAAAAGTAATAATTGTGAATAGGTGTAGTAACTCCATAAAGTCATATGAAATAGATGGAGCTGCCAGTGTTTGATAAATTAAAAGGATAAATAAATGGTTTATATGTAAAAGAGTAAATGAACGTCAATAAGAAGTAGTATCTTCACCCTTTCACCTGCCAGAAATATCACCTTTGTGGTTGTGGGTAATGCCAATTATTGAAATAATTAAGTGAATATGGGAGAAATCCATAGACTACAATATCGAATGACCAATGTGTTAATGGCTATTCTGTGTGTGACATTTCCATAGATTCTATGGGAGGTAAAGATATGTTTAAGTCACAGCTACTATTTCTAAAGACTTCATAATTTGATTCATAGAGCAATATGTGATACAGAAAAATAGAATTTTAGATCATGAATCAAATAGAGAAAATTTTATAAATGGAAGAGAACTTAGAGACTACCTAGCCTAATCTACATGATTAAAAGAATAATTTAGTGAGGTTTTAAAATTAGTTGGCTCCTCATAATTGTAACTGACATGACAGGCTCAGTCTTCTATTTTTTTTCTCTCTTCATACTGAGCTCTATGGTCTCAGCTGACCATATAAATTGAGTTATGAATTCAATTCATTATTGAGTTATGAATAAGAATTGAGTTTTCAATACATATGTTGAAATCCTCACCCCCAAGGCAAAAGCATCAGGAGGTGGGGCCTTTGGGAGGTGATTAGGTTATGAGGGTGGGGTTCTCAAGAATGGGGTGAGTGCTCTTACAAAAGGGATCTCACAGAGCTCCCTTGTCTTTAGTCATCTAAAGGTGTCCCTTTACTATGGAAGGCTTTTGGTTTCTAGATCTTTCTAGAAACTTACAAGGGGGGGGGGTGAGTTTTTAAAGTTCAAGCGTTAAGTACTAGCTCTTTTGTCGCCATAGCTTATAACCCCTTCATTCAGCCAAAGGAAGGGTTCTGCTCAGTGGAATGGATAAGACTGTTTCTGGGAGCACAGCAGCAAATGTTCAGGAAGGCCAAGGTTTAAGAGCAGTTTCAGTGATCCTGCTGTTTGTAGTCTGAAAAGCAGAGGAATGATAGGACTGTAGCTCTTTGGAGATCTCTTAACTTGAAGTTCATGGACTTCGGAGATCTGGCAACTCTCTGAATATACATGAGAGCATTTTCCTTCTAGAGAAAGATTGTCTAGCTTTGTTCAGTTTCTCACCCATGTCTGTTATCCCCCAAAAGTTAAGAACCACTTATTTCCCGAAGGCCTGGAAACACTATAATGTGGAACCTCAGTTTATCTTGCTACAAAAGATAAAGCTCAGAAAGTTCATTTATTAATTCATTAAAAACAAACAAACATTGAGGAAAAGGATGGATAGCAGTAGGGCTCTGGGGAAAATGGTTACCTGATTTTGGTTCCTTTTCTCTTTACAGGGAGAGCCTATGGGGGTTTCCAGACTCACAGGCCTTCCAGGCAGAGGCTTCTTCTCCTTCCAGCACCCAGGAGAGCCTAGCCATTCAGAGCTCTCCACACCATGACCGGGTCCCAATGAGCTGTCAAAGATACATAACAGTCTAAGGGTCTCATAGGTGAGGGGGAAAAACAGGCAGAAAAACTACAGCACAAGTCCAGTGCAAGATAATTGTTAGAAAAGCAGAAGAATGATTTTTTTTAAAAAAGATTTTATTTATTTATTTGACAGAGAGAGACACAGCGAGAGAGGGAACACAGCAGTGGGAGGGGGAGAGGGAGAAGCAGGCTCCCCGCAGAGCAGGGAGCCCGATGCGGGGCTCGATCCCAGGACCCCGGGACCATGACCTGAGCTGAAGGCAGACGCTTAACGACTGAGCCACCCAGGCGCCCCGAGCAGAAGAATGATTTAAAGAAACAAAAGAACTGCTGTTACATGCAGCAGATACAAGGCTTCTTTGAATTTGACAGCTCTATTCCTGCATTAAACAACCATGCAGGTCAACTGAAGATAAGGATGGTTGTTATTGATGCTTGGGTTGGTCGGTGGCTTGAGCGGCGGCACGAACAACCTCACAGCGCAAAGGGAAACCGCGGCTGTGGGCAGCCCGGGGGCAGCCAGAGCCCCAGCCGCCGGGTGAGGCCGAGAGCACGCGCGGAACCGCACAGGCGCCTGCGCGGAACCGCACAGGCGCGTGCGCACAGAGGAGGCCGTGTCCCGGGGCTGTCACGTGTTCCAGTGCTCTCAGCCCACCAGATGGTACGGTATGGCCTCCTCACCTGTACCCGGAGGGGGAGCGTCGCCGGGTGGTCTTCGGTGACCTCTGTGTGCAACGCGTGCCCCCAAGGAGGCCTTCGGCTTCGAGGTGACCGTGGTCACCACCGTCCGTCGCACCATCATCCTCACGGCCCTGGCCTTTCTCACTCGCTGCGTGAGGAGGAGCGAGCAGCGATGGGTAGGGCCACCCGGCTGTGGCTCCAGCTGGGAACCGGGCAGTCGGAGACGGTGCAGGCCGCCCACCTGGGCCCTTGGTAAGGGACTGAAGAGCAGCGGCGGCGGCGGGGAGCCCGGGAGCGGGCCCGGCCGCAGCTGCCCCGCAGGCTTGGGCGAGGGCGCTGGAGGGCTGGCTGGCATGGACCAGCATCCCTGGGCCGGCGGTCCCGGAGGCTCGCCCCGCGTGCAGGACATGGTTCCCTGGGAGAACCTGGGCGCACCCCGCCTGCCCCCTGGCCCCCAGCGCGCGGCCTGCGTCCTCGGGGTGACGGAGCCAGAGGCCACACTGGGAGGGCCAGGCCGACCCCGCCGCCTCGCCGCCTGCACCGGACGTGCGTCCCGCCTAAGACTGGTCGGTGAAATCAGCTTCGGGCGCTGGGGATCCCGCAGGGTGCTGTGCTGGGGACTGCAGCGGGGTGTCCTGTCCCGGGGGAGCTCAGGCGGAGCAGCTTTTCTGGAAGCTTCCTTGAAACCGTCGCCGAGGTTCTGGAACCAGCTGCAGCCCCGGTCTAGCCGGGCTTCTTCAGAGTGACTGCGGGACGTTTTAAGCAAATCTTGCTCTGCGTGGTGGAGTAGGAAGCCGGCAGCCGACTTCTCACAGCTATTGCTGGCTGCCCCATCTTCCCCCGCAGGGCAGGGCCTGTGCCTGCAAGCAGGGACCCCTGGGGTGCTGCATCCCTTATCTGCAAGGTGAGGGGTGTGGAAGAAAAATTCTAATACTGGAAAAAAAAAAATGTAGGCAACTTGGATGTATGTTCTGAGGATTCCTACCATGGCAGTAATTGGCATTTCTGAAGTGAAAAAAGACCAGATGGAAGAGAAGCAGATTTAAACAAATACTAGAAAGACATTTACCTGAAGTAAATACATTCCTGAGATTGTAGGTTGTAAGGACTGCCCGAATTACAGGCTTTACTGGTAAGAAAAGACCTAGTACTAGTAAAATCCTGGAACTTTGAATAATGAAGAGAATATTATGAGCCTCTAGGCAGGAAGAACAACCAACCAACGAAAGCAAATATCAGTGAAGCATTGGACAATGGCATCCTGTCTAATCTTTAAAATTAATTTCCTGAAAGCTGACAGATAGTGGAATAGCCTCAGTCAGAGAGCTGCAAGCTAAGGTATTCTGAAGTAAGGTATCATTGGCCTGAATGATAGAGAGACAGATAGGTGAACATAAATAAGAATGCACCTTTAAAAAAGCCCTGTGAAAATGACTGAACAATGATTGAACCAAAACGGAAATCTTAAGATGGAGAAAATAAAGAGGTAAGGCAACAGTGGTGGGCATCAATAAATGTCCCTTCCTCCCTTCTTCCTTTCTTCTTTCCTTCTTTCATGTTTCCATCTACACATCTATCTGAATAGAATTTATTATCTTGAAATGTGATCCATAAGTACTCTGCAAGATTTTTGAAATAGGAAGAATATGCTTTAAGGAAATTTCTTTCCTTCCTTCCTTCCTTCCTTCCTTCCTTCCTTCCTTCCTTCCTTCCTTCCTTCCCTCCCTCCCTCCTTCCTTCCTTCCTTCCTTCCCTCCCTCCCTTTCCCTCTCCCTCCCTCCCTCTCTCTCTTTTTCTTTTCTTTTCTTCTCTTTTTTTCCTAACTGGTAAGTCTTAAGAGCAGGGAATAAACCTCACACAAAGAATTCTACCTTCGTGAATATGGTGTTTCTCCTGCCCTGTAAGTGCTTCTTTTCTTTGTTTTTAAACCACTTTATTGAGTATAAATATTTAATGTATACAACTTGATGGATTTCGAGGTACACACCTGTGAAATCATCACCATAATCAGTACCATAAACATGTCCATCACCTCCAAAAGTTTCCTCCTGTCCTTTTTATTTTTAGTTTTTATTTTTGTGATTTTGGGGACCATGTAGTATTTGTTCTTTTGTGTCTGGCTTGTTTCACTTAGTGTAATATCCTCTGGGTTCATCCATGGTGTCACATAGGACGGGATTTCTTTCTTTTTTAAAGGCTTCATAATATTTTTCTTTATCCAGTCATATGTCATTGGACATTCAGGTTGCTTCCACGTCTTGACTATTGTCAATAATGCTGCAATGAACATGTAAATACAGATTATCTCTTCGAGATCCCGATTTTGAGTCTTCTCAATATATGCCCAAACATGAGATTGCTGGATCATACAGTATTTCTATTTTTAATTTTTTGAAGAATTCCCATACTGTTTTCCACAGAGGCTGCATCAATTTACATTCCCACCCACAGTATAGAAAGATTTCATTTTCTCCACATCCTCACTAACAATGTTATCTTTTGTTTTATTGGTAATAGACATCCTAATAGGTATGAGGTGATATTTCTTTGTGGTTTTGATTTGCATTGCTCTGATGATTAGTGCTGTTGAGTACATTTTCATATGCCTCTTGACCATTTGCATGTCTTTTTTGGAGAACTGTCTATTCAGATCCTTTGCCCATTTTTAAATTGGGCTATTTGAGCTTTTTATTTTGTGTTTGTTTTTTTTTTTCCTGTTGAGTGCTTTGAGTTCATTATATATTTTGGATAACCCTTTATCAGACATATGGTTTGAAAATATTTCCTTCCATTCTGTAGGTTGCTTTTTCATTTTTGTAGATTTTTTTCTTTGCTGTGCAGAAGTGTTTTAGTTTGAATTTTTTTTTTTTAAGATTTTATTTATTTATTTGAGAGAGAGAGAATGAGAGAGAGCACATGAGAGGGGGGAGGGTCAGAGGGAGAAGCAGACTCCCTGCTGAGCAGGGAGCCCGATGCGGGACTCGATCCAGGGACTCCAGGATCATGACCTGAGCCGGAGGCAGTCGCCCAACCAACTGAGCCACCCAGGCGCCCCTAGTTTGAAATTTTTAATATTTACTATACTAACTCAGAAAAGCCTAGGAGTTGGTGATTGTGGTGAGTGGTGGGGGGAAGTAGAAACATTCCATGGTTCTCACTGGGGGCGGAAGGTCAAGGAGGAGAGGAAAGGGGAATGAAGATATTCTGTGGGCCTCATCTTATTGGCATTGAGGGAAAAGTAGAGGTGAAGCAGAGCAACTTGGTAGGGGAAAGTAGTTAGGGACATAGTTGACTGAGAGTGTAGATTGGGCTACAAATAAAATGTAGCTATATGCTATTTGCAAGAAAATAAAACCTCGTTTAGGCCATGTTAACAACTAAAATGAAAGATTGAACAAAGAGATATGAGATGAATTCAAATAAAAAGAAAAAAGGAGTGTGTGGTGGAACTTTGCAGCTGTTATTTAGTCCAGTCACATAAAGATAAAAACAAGGAGAGAAGGTCTTATTGGTGGGATTACAGGCTGCATTGGGTCAGCATGACCTCTGAAACAAGAATCTGTTATTGTCTAAAAGTAAAAACCAACCATAATACCTGCTGCCATCTGGATAGTGTTTCAGTGAACATCTGACCACTCAGGAACACTGTTCCTAGAACATGCATGGCTTTATGTCATTCTAGTTAAACAGTATAAAGACTTCTATGGAGAGTAGCTCATAGAATGCCTTTCCCAGAAGGAGGGCATTCTTTGGCCATTCTGTGTAAGACCTGGAACATCTGTTTTGTGATATATGCATGCAATTTGTTTTATGCAACAAATGACAATATTAATAACAGACAAGGTCCAATTTAAGGTTAAATGCATTGAAGAGTTACATTATGTAATAATGAAAGGAACAGTTCATGAAGACTATATTACATTTCTAAATTTGCACCAAATAGCATAGCAGCTAACCATACAAAGCAAAATATTTTAGGAATGGAGGCAAAATTTGAAAAAAATTAAATTAATGTGGAAGACAAAATATTCCTCTTCCAGAATTGGACAAGTCTAGTTAAAAACAGAAAAAAGACATATAGGAAGGAATGATACAATCAGTAAACTGTATTTAATAGATGTATATTAAATCTACATCCTTCTAAGGGACAATAAACTTTTTTGGTCTACGTTCACAGAACATTTACAAAATAGGTCTTGTTCTTTTACTGTACTTGCTCTCAGAAAACTTCAATGATTTTTAAGGTTGAAATTTTGTAGTTCAGAATCTCTGATTAAATTCAGTAAAATTGAAGAAAAATAATAAAAAGTTGGCCTAAAATATTAATCTCTTTGGAAATGAATAAGCATGTTTCTAGATAAACTTTGGATCACATAGAATATTAAAAGGGAAACTACAAATTATATTGAAAACAATGAAAAGGAGGACATTTCACATTTAAGTAAACTTTTGGAAGTCATCAAAATATGATCAGAAGAAAATATTTTCAGGGGAACATTTTTAGCTTTTTTTTTTTTTTTTTAAAGATTTTATTTATTTATTTGACAGAGAGAGACACAGAGAGAGAGGTAACACAAGCAGGGGGAGTGGGAGAGGGAGAAGCAGGCTTCCCGCGGAGGAGAGAGCCTGATGTGCGGCTCGATCCCAGGACCCTGGGATCATGACCTGAGCTGAAGTCAGATGCTTAATGACTGAGCCACCCAGGAGCCCCCATTTTTAGCTTTTAATGCCATTATTAGTAAAAGAAGAACACCAAATAGATGGAATAATGACTCCACCTAAGAAATTAGAAAATGAAAAACAAAGTGTAACAAAGTCATTTTATAAAAAATAAAATCTGAAATTAATGAATAACAAAATTAAGGGAAAAGGATAAACAGATCCCAAAGTAATTTTTCATATACCCATAAAATAGATGAGTACTTTACAACCCTGATTAAGGAAAAGAGAAAAAAGGTAAATATTAATAATAAAAAAATAATCAAAGAGAAAAGTTTAAAATAATTCTAATATAAAGGTGCATGTAACTTTAGGGTAATAAATTTGAAAAACCTAGAAACAAATAAATAATTCCTTAACAAAATAAAACAGTAGGTTTAAAGTGACCTAAAAGTAGATTAAATCTTAGAGATAATATAAGAAAGGTGATTATAACTTTAAAATTGAGAAAGGCACCATGATCAGATGCTTTCATAACCAAGATCTAGCTAATCTTTAAAGATTGGGTAACCATACAATATTATTTGAATTGAAGGAAATCTTTCAAATTAATTTTATAAAGCCAAAATAACTTTAAAACAAAACCTGTGAAAGATGGCCAACAAATAAAACCATGTATTATTCTTTCTAAGGAATGTAGAGGGTAATTCTTAATAAATTTTATCAAATAATATCTGCAGTGCATTTTACAGAGCAGATTTTTAGGAGTTGTTGAATATCAGGAAATCCATCAACATAATTTATTGTGTCAACACATTGAAGAAAAAAATTTTAATTGTATCAATAGATGCTTAACATTTGGTAGAAAACATTAGTCATTCCTTTTTTTTTTTTTTAAGATTTTATTTATTTGAGAGCGAGAATGAGAGACAGCATGAGAGGGAGGAGGGTCAGAGGGAGAAGCAGACTCCCCGCCAAGCAGGGAGCCCGATGCGGGACTCGATCCCGGGACTCCAGGAGCATGACCTGAGCCGAAGGCAGTCGCTTAACCAACTGAGCCACCCAGGCGCCCACATTAGTCATTTCTAATAAAATTACGGAGTAAAATAGTAAAATAATGAAATATAAAAATATAAAGCCACTCAGCAAATACTTTGAATTTAACAACATGAAAACTATTCTAATTAAACTAGTTACTAGAGGGGGCGCCTGGGTGGCTCAGACGGTTGGGCGTCTATCTTTGGCTCAGGTCATGATCCCAGGGTCCTGGGATCGAGCCCCGCATCGGGCTCCCTGCTCGGTGGGGAACCTGCTTCTCCCTCTCCCTCTGCCTGCTTCTTCCCCTCCCTCTGCCTGCTTCTTCCCCTGTTTGTACACTCTCTCTCTCTGTCAAAAATAAATAAAATCTTAAAAAAAAAATTAGTTACTAGATAGGGATATTCACTATTACCATTATACTTAACATTATCTTGGAGATGCTAGTGAATGTGGAAGGTAAGAAAACAGATATAAACTTTGAGAAAAAACATAAATTTTTTTTTTTTTTTGCTGATGATATTATTATACACCTAGAAAAGTCAAGATGCCCTAGTAAATATTACTGTATTTAAAAAGCAGAATTTGATAAGGGCATGGATATAAGATAAATTTTTTATAAAGTAAGAGATTTTATCTACTTTAACGAAATACGTAGTAATGGGAAAATTTTCCTACTTATAGTCAAAATATAAAATACTTAAGAATAAATATAATAAGACAAAGTATCTCTATAAAAAATGTAAAATTTTATTTATTTTTTTTAAAGATTTTATTTTTATTTATTTGAGAGAGAGAATGAGATAGAGAGAGCATGAGATAGGAGAGGGTCAGAGGGAGAAGCAGACTCCCTGCCGAGCAGGGAGCCCGATGCGGGACTCGATCCCAGGACTCCAGGATCATGACCTGAGCCGAAGGCAGTCGCTTAACCAACTGAGCCACCCAGGCGCCCCAAAAATGTAAAATTTTACAGAAAGGGGCTCCTTGTGGCTCAGTTGTTTAAGCGTCCAACTCTTGATTTCTGCTCAGGTTGTGATTTTAGGGTTGTGAGATCGAGCCCTATGTCAGGCTCCATGCTGGGTATGGAGCCTGCTTAAGATTCTCTCTCTCCCTCGCCCTCTCATTTTTTTTTTTTTTACTGAAAGAAATTAAATAAGATTCAAACAAATGGAAAGGCATACCTATTGGATAGGAATACTTAATACAACAAACATTAAGTACATACACCTAATGGATGTATAAACATAATATACTAAAATTAGAATTGGAATTCTTTGGGGGCATTTTTAAAAGGAGGTTAAAGTCCCTACTGAAGAATAAATGCCCCAGGATAGCCAAGAAAATACACAAAGGAAGAATAATGAGAGGTCTTATCTTACTGGATATTAGTATGTATAATAAAGCTATTGTGTCTCAGTCATGTGGTATTCGTAAAAGAAGAGAATAAAGAATGAAGAAAAAGAGCCCAGTGTAGACGATAGTTTAATGTATTTTTAAAGTGGTAGCTCATTTTAGTGGGAAATGGATCAATTATTTAATGGTATTTGGACAACTGACTATACATCTGGAAGAAAAGAAAAGTGGATCCTTATCTTATTCTACATTTAAATATAAATTCTAGATGGCTGAAAAGCTTACATGGTAAAATAGAATTGCATAAGTCTTACAAGAAAATCTAAAAACTAAATGTATAAAATCTATAGACTGAGAATCATCTCTTCCAAAAGCTATAGAAATCCAGAAGCTATAAAAGAAAAGAGAGATAGGGGTGCCTGGGTGGCTCAGTTGGTTAAGCATCTGCCTTTGGCTCAGGTCATGATCTCAGGGTCCTGGGATGGAGCCCCACATCAGGCTCCCTGCTCAGTGGGAAGCCTGCTTCTCCCTCTGCCCCTCCCCCATTCGTGTTTTTTTTTCTCTCTCTCTCAAATAAATAAAATTCTAAAAAAAAAAAGAAAAGAGACATATTGAAATTTATATTTTAAAAGCTAAGAACCTTGATATGACAAAAGATCTCATAAATAAAACAATAGACATTCAATTTAGGACAAAATACTTGTAATTGATTTGTCCAAATAGCTAAACATTTGACAAAAAAAGGAAGAACTTGGGGCACCTGAGTGGCTCAGTCGTTAAGTGTCTGCCTTAGGCTCAGGTCATGATTGCAGGGTCCTGGGATCAAACCCTGCATAGGGCTCCCTGCTCAGCAGGAAGCCTGCTTCTCCCTCTCCCACTCCCCCTGCCCTCTCACACTCCCCCTGCTTGTGTTCCCTCTCTCATTGTCTCTCTCTGTCAAATAAATAAATAAAATCTTAAAAAAAAACCAACTCAGTTGAAAAATGGGCAAAGAACAGTGAATCCAAATGGCTAACAAATTTATAAAAAGATTCTCAAATTCATTATTAGTAACGGAAATTCAAATTAAAGTAAAAATAAAATGTCATTTTACACTAGACTGACAGAAATGGAAAAGAACTATGATAACTATTACTGGTGGTGATTGAGGGAAAGGATTACTCTCATGGCTGGGAGAAATATGAGCTGTTATAGGTCTTGGCAAATCCATCTGCCAACATCTATTAAATTTTTAAAAATATGTATACTTTTTGGCCCAGCAATTCCAGCCCTTGGACTCTTTCCCATAGAAAGGAAGGCACCAGTATGTAAGGCCATGTGTTTGTAGTGCAAAAACCTCATTAGAAGTAATGATTCAGTGCTGCATCTCTTGACTTGCAGTGATTTCGACAAAGTATTTTTGAGAGAGAAGAGCAAGTCATGGGAAGTGTAAGATCCTCTTTTGTAAAGTTACCAATAATACTGACATATGTAGACATATTTACGTGTACATTTCTATATAGGATTACATGGCCAGGGATTATGTGGAAAGTTAGGCTAATGTGGGGAATAGAGAGAGAGAAGAGGGTAGCTGAAGAAAGCAATCCCTTTGCCACTTATAAAGGATGAATACTAGCCATAGTTGAGGATATAAAATTGCATGATATTAATTGTGAATAAAATTCCCAATGACAAATTCAAACAACTAAATCCTGTCAAATCACCCACTTTGGAGGATAGACTATGGTATTTGTGTGTGTATGAAGGTATGTGATTTTTTGGTTATGTTTATTTATAATCTCACATTTTTGTAAGTAGGTGTTATAAAACCCATAAATAAGCAATAGATTTTTAAAACCTTTTTTTAAAAATGATTTTATTTATTTATTTGACAGAGCGAGAGAGCACAAGCAGGGGGAACAGTAGAGGGAGAGAGAGAAGCAGGCTCCCCACTAAGCAGAGAGCCCTGTCCCAGGACGCTGGGATCATGACCTGAGCTGAAGGCAGATGCTTAACCGACTGAGCCACCCAGGCGCCCCTAAAACCTTTTTTCTAAAGCAGGCATACCTATAACACCCTAAATAGCATTTATAAATATGTGTTTTATATTTCGTTTGAAATAGCTGATGGAAGAGTAAAAGTAAAGGATTTACTTTTGGTATTAGAAGACAGTCTGTTTCAGACTGATGAAATAAATGTTTTCTTCTTATATTTATATAGTGATTGTTTGCTTTTGCTTCATGTTCTTTTATTTCCCATGTTTGGAAAACCCTCTGTTGAAAATTAAAACTAGACGGTAGAATGCTTTTGAAGGAATATGGAGAATGAAAGCCAGACATTTTCTAGGACACAAATGTCTCTGCCTGGATCAATTTCAGAAGATCTTCTTTAGAAGAAAAATTAGGGATGTTCTTTTGCTATCTGTCTGCTAATTATCTGAGGCATTTGAGAACTTGGCATTGTTCAGAGAGGTTTCAACATTTAGGTCTGTCAACTCTTAAATTCATATTCCAATTTTGGAAGTATTTTTAACTCAAGTTTTGGACCAAGGTATGAGATGTAGAATTTCTGTTCATAGTTTTCCAGGCAAAATCTCGTCAAACCTCATTTGAGATAATGTGACAGAGGTGTGGACTTCTCCCATCTCACCTCCAACTCCTCACCACAGTAATGAAAAATGTCAGCACTGATAGATTTTTCTTTGATAAACAGCTCGACTTTTATGCTCAGCTGTATTGAATTTCAAAGAAGCATATATTGCCAGTTTCAACTACTGCAGAATAATCTACAGGAGAACCAAGCATAAATCTTCAGAAACAATTCAAATATCAGTAACCGTCTTTGGAGCAGATGACCTATAACCAGCTTTGAAAAGGAAATTAAAATATTTAAACATTGGAGACATACCCAGTGTGCTCACAGGATAAATGCAAATTCAAATTACAATAAGATATTATTCTACTAGTTTGTCACTGAAAAGTGCATATTGACAAAGGCATGGAAAAACAAGAACTCTCATGTGTTACTGGTGGAAATATACTCTTCCAACTTTTTTGGAAGGTAGTTGCCAATATCTGTAATAATTTAAAATAAACAGAATCTTCAACCCAAAATTCACTCTCCTGGGATTTTTCTACAGATGAACTTTTATGTATATGCACAAAGATGTTCATTGTAACATTTATTTGAAGTAGCAAAATATTTGAAACAACCTGGATATTAGCCAGTAGGGATCTGGTTAAATAAATTATGGTATAACTATAAAATGGAGTATTATGTATAATTTATAGAGGAAAGTTGCAAATCTTTATGTGTCAATATAGAAATATCTCCAAAATATTTAATCAATTAATTATTTTTAATTTTTAAAAAAGATTTTATTTATTTATTAGAGAGCATGAGCAGGGGAGGAGCAGAGGGAGAGGGAGAGAGAACCTCAAGCCGACTCCAGGCTGAGCGTGGAGCCTGAAGCGGGGCTTGATTTCACAACCCTGAGATCATGACCCTAGCCAAAATCAAGAGTTGGACGCTTAACCGACTGAGCCACCCATGCACCCCTCCAAAATATTTTAAAGGAGAAAGCAACATGTGTAGGGTGTGCATATATTTGTGAAAAAAGGAAAACATGCATACATATTATATAAATGTGTACTTAAGTATATGTGTGTGTGTCTATATATACATAGAATATATGAACTGATACTAAGGATTATATCCCTGGGAAGGGGAACTGGGAAACTGGAGGGTATGGATGGATTTAATAGTATATTCTTTTATACTATTTGAATTAAAAGAAGATAAGTGTTTATCACTTAGTATATTCCAGATTTTATGCTTATTTTATGGATGAGGAAACTGAAGGCCAGTAAAGCAAGATGCTTGTGTTTCCATAGCTGATAAGTAATGGAAGCAGTGTTTGCATGCAGGTAGTGTAATTTCTCAGCCTGTGCTCTTACCTAAACACGTATATATAGGTTTCCTCTTTCCACAAATTAAAACAAAAAAACCCCTGAAGTTCATTCATCAAGTTAGAAAATCCAAATAGTGGAGCCAAGTTAAGCGGTATAATTTAATTTATGCTTGTTCAGATGGGAAATGGTTTCTTTTTGGTTAAAGTGCTGGGTTGCACCTGGTAAATCCTTCTCATTCTTGGAAGTGTAAGAGTCATTTAGAAAAATCTTGAAACTATGTAGCTGCTATCACTGGACCGTGTCACATCCATCTGTTTATGTGTCTCTGCTCTAAAGTTGTAAGTGGTAGCCTTTGGGCACTATGGCCCCAGGAACTGAAAAGATTTGATGTCATGTGCCATGTCTTTGAGGTTTGCATTTGCTTGAAATGGTGTGAACTAATCAATCAGCCCATGGGCAAAACTGATTCCAGGTGCTCGTGGTTTCATTTCTGTCTGATTAATCTCTAAGTGGTTTTGCTTCTTCCTGGTGAGACACTCTTTTACATAGAGCAGGGCAGTTAAGGCATGAACACAAGACAGAAAATATTACCAACTGGAAAGAGCAGAGGACTTAGGACCAAAAGACCAATTTTAAATCATGGCTGATTATATGGCTTTGGACAAATCACTTAACTCTTCTGAGTCTCAGTTTACTATCTATATAATTAAAAATGCTAATACCTACTACAGAGGTTGTTATGAAGATCAAATGAAGTAACATGTTAAGATAACTAGCTCAATACCTAGCAATGATTGATGCCTACGTAAATTAGAGTGTTCAGCTCAATACCTAGTGCATGGTTGCTTCTCAAAATATATGAGCTAAATCTGAATTTGAGTTCCTTGAGAGTAGGCACTCATAGTTGTTACTTGAATGTATGAATCAGTGAATGAATGATTATGATTAACATAGTTGTGTGCAACCTGTGTGTTGCACCTTCACCTTCTAAAGATGGATAGTGAGCCAGGCTGAAGACCCCGAGTGTGGATATTTGTCATGGAGGTACGAGAATGGGGGAGTTAATAGTTCTTAGAGGAAGTGCAATTTTTTTTAAAGATTTTATTTATTTATTTGAGAGAGAGAGAGTGTGAGAGAGGGAGAGCACAAGCAGGGGGGAGGGGCAGAGGGAGAGGGAGAAGCAGACTCCTCACTGAGCAGGGAGCCAGATGTAGGACTTGATCCCAGGACCCTGGGATCATGACCTGAGCCCAAGGCAGATGCTTAACTGAGCCACCCAGGCACCTGAAGTGTGATGTTTTGAGAGAGTTTTAACTCACAGCATATAGTTTAGAACAATTTTCTTAATTTTTTTTTTTTAAGATTTTATTTATTTATTTATCTTGGCTCGAGAGAGAGAGAACGTGAGAGCAGGAACACAATTAGGGGGAGTGGCAGAGGGAGGAGCAGGCTTCCCGCCAAGCAGGGAGCCTGATGTGGGGCTCCATCCCAGGACTCTGGGATCATGACCTAAGCCGAAGGCAGACGCTTAACGACTGAGCCACCCAGGTGCCCCAGAACAATTTTCTTAATTAATATCACAGTTCAGGTTCTTTATTTCAATAGAATCCACCCTCAATTCAGTGATTCATTTGTTAGTTTACTACTGTTAGATATTTGTGTTCAAAAGAGCTCAAGTGTTCAAAAACCTTTGCTTCCGGCTCTTATTACTAATTATTTACATCAGTGGTAACTGAGACTCTTGAGACTGCTAGAGAGGGAAAAGAACAGGAAGACTTGAGTGTGTTCCCACACAAGGACTCCTGATTGTCATTTCCTCTCTTCAAACCCAGTCTTGTGATCATATCATCTTTGGCTGAAACCACACCCTGAAACCTGACTGTGCCTCTTTGTCTTGGCTCAAGAGTGTTTGTCCTACAATGTGAGATTTTGTGCCCCTTCCAGGGAAGGATACTTAAGTCCAGTGCTGATAATAAGGCAGAGTGACTCCAGGGAGAAATGCCCAGTGTCTGGGCCTTGCTATGTTGGGTTTGTGCTGAAAAACTGCAAATCAAACGTCTTAAGCACAATAATTGTGCTTTTAAAGTCTGGAAGCACTACATAAGTATATGAATCCTGTTCAGAATAGTTTAGTGAATTTCCCTTAGCAATTTGCTAATAAATTAAATCCTGTTGCCCCTACAGTTTTTTTTGTTTGTTTGTTTTTGTTTTTTTTTTTAGGAAACAATTATACTATATATATCACATTGAAAAAAAGAATCAACTAAACAGTGATTTTTTTTTTGTTTTCTGTTTGTGCACAGATAGTGAAAATGACATAGAATATAGATATTCATGGACGTGAGTCTGACAATACTTGGCATATAGATGTCAGGGATCAATCACTGTTTGAAAGGTGATAGTGTTATTTTCCTTAACTTTAAATTATCAAGCTGCAGCTGTTTTTTGTAGCCATGGCATCCCATTGTATTTCTCTTGTCCCCAAGAACTGATTTCTACTCATTTACTGACTACCAGTGATCCTTGGCTCAGAGACCCATAAATTGAATCCAAAAGAAATCATAATGGAAGATAATACACATTTTTCAAAGTTTTTTCCCCCCCACTGATGGAGTTTTTCTCTTCCTTCCTGCCTTCTTTCCTCACACCTTTCTATCTACCCATTAAAAAAATATTTTGAAGATGTTTCCTGCTTCAGGTGTAGGGATGTACCATATCCAGGATTCTTGGTTTCAAATAACAGGATTTGACTCTGGTTAACTTAGGTTAAAAAAAAAAAAAAAAGAATTTAATGGACCTATATGGGATAACTCACAGCCTGGAGGACAAAGGTCTGGCAAGAATTTGGGGAGGCAGAGCCTGGCTAAGATCTTGGTGGAAGAAAGACCCACTCTCCATGGGAATAGGAAAGATCTTCTGCCTTTTAGGCTTCATATTGGGTGGTAGGACCTTTACCTGCCACCTTTTTAGAGATTTCCTCCAAATGAGTGGAACAGTTCATGATAGTTGGCCTAATGAAATATGTCCTACATTGGGTACCAATGAAACTTTCGTTCTGATGGGAACTGCATTTCTGTTTTCTAAAGTTCAAGGAATAAGTAGAGAGCACAGGTTCTTGTCCTGATTGGTCTAAGGAAGATACCTTTGGGAGGACACACTTAACTCTCTCTGCCCAGATGACTTAGCCTTCATGGAACTGCAGTTGAGAATGGGACACCAATAGCAAATCACAACTAACAAGGTTTGGGTGATAGGAGATGCCCAAGAACATATTGTATAATTAGAAATTTCACTGTTCTAAAGAAGGATTCCTCAAGAGGCAGTCAAAGACCATCATCAGAATCATTGCTAAAAATGAAGGTTCTTGAGGATCACTTTAGGCTTACAGAGTTTGAAACTTTGGGAGTAGCTCTAGGGGTTGGCAATTTTCATAAACCCCTAGATGAATTTTAAGCCCACTAAGTTTGAGAAACACTAGGAATGTAATGGAATGTAGGTCCATCAGAAATTTGTTAAAGTTCTTGTTAATAATCACTCATTTTTAGCTTCTCCCTTCCCCATTTACACTTATCCATATATGTATTTTTATTAAATATTACAGTAATACTTTATGAAGAAAGATGCTATTCTAAGGTTTAATGAGTTTTAAAAGCCAAAACAGGTTGTTGCTGTTGAGTAAAGCTCTTTATAGGAAGATAGATATTTGTAAAGTGCTAGTCAACTATTTGGGTAAAAGGTCAATAGGCCCAATGGAAACTCTCAGAAGGTGAGCAGGTATGGAGTTTCTGGAAGGAAAGGGCACATTTTCTGACAGTGATTGGTCAGTGTTCAACTTTTTTCCACTTACTCTGAGTTATAGAAGATTGACAGTCCAAGGGCTCGTAAACTCAGTGGCATAGAGTCTGTGGTTTTTTTTTTTTTTTTACTTGCTTAGTGTCTAGTAGCTTCTCAATTAAAGAAAAAAAAACTTGAAGTTTTAATTTTTTTTTCCAAATTTGTTCAGAACTGGTACCACTATTGTGAATCTTCACCTAGTAGGTCTTAGAGCTGAGCAGATGTTAAAGACACCTTGCTCTCTACTTTTCACTGGTACATTAAGCATTAAAATGGCAGATTCAGTGTCTGGTGAATCTTTCTGGTTTGCAGGTGGCTTCTTGCTATATCCTCACGGGACAGAGAGAAATAGC